GCCTGCAAAAATAGTAGACTCGCCCACTTTAAGGGCATTTAAATGGTGATTGGATAAACATATGGATGATAATGGAATAGTTTAGGTTAGATGGGCTTCAGATTGGTTTCACAGGTTGGCGCAACATCGAAGGCCGAAGGGCCTGTACTGCGTTGTAATGTTCTATGTTCTATGTTCTAAATGGAGCTCTACAGCACAGAAAAGGGCCCTTCAGCCCTCCACACCAGTAAAAAACAACCACCTCACTATTCTAACCCCATTTCCCCAGCACTTGGCCCATGGCCTGGTGTGCCTAGGCATCACAAGTGCACATCTAAATCTTTCCTCAATGTGCTGAGGGTTTCTGCCTGTAACACCCTCACAGGCAGAGAGTTCCAAATCCCCCAGCAGCCCCTGTGTGTTTCCCTACATCCCCTCTAAACCCCCTGCCCCTTACTTTCAATCATTTCCCCCTGGTCATTGATTCCTCCATCAAGGGGAAAATTCTCTTACTGTCTACCACATCTATGGCCCTTCTAAACATGTATACGTCCATCATATCCCCTCCAAATCTCTTCTGCTCTAAGCAAAACAACCCCAGGGTATCCAATCTCTCTACATAATATGTTGGCCTTTATTGCAAGTGGATTGGATTACAGGAACAAAATATTCTTGCTACAAAAACTCAACTCACCTCCTGACTCCCTAAAGCCTGTCCACCACCTACAAGGCACAAGTCAGGAGTGTGATGGAATACTCCCCTCTTGCCTGGATGAGTGCAACCCCAACAACACTCAAGAAGCTTTACACCATCCAGGACAAAGCAGCCGCTTGATTGGCACCACATCCACAAATATCCACTCCCTCCACCACCAACGCTCAGTAACAGCAGTGTGTACTATCTACAAGATGCACTGCAGAAATTCACCAGAGATCCTCAGGCAGCACCTTCCATAGAGCAGGGACAGGTCCATTCAACCCCATCAACCAGCTCCATCATTCAATACAATCATGGTGGATCATCGAGCTCAAAATCCTAATCCCGCCCTCCCCCATTTTCTTTCACCACAAGAGCTATATCTACCTCCTTCATAAAAACACATAATGTTTTGGCCTTCAACCATTTCTGTAGCAGTGAATTGCACAGGGTACCCACTCTCTGGGTGAAGACATTTCTCCTCATCTCAGTCTGAAAAGTCCCCTTATCTTTAAACCGTGACCCATGGCTCTGGACTCCATTGGAAACATCCTTCCTGTATCTAACGCGTCCTGTTCTGTTAGAATTTTACAGGTTTCTATGAGATCTGCCTTCACCACAATTCTCCTAAACTCCAGTGAATGAAATCCAAACTGATGCAATCTCTCCTCAGGCATCAGTATCCCATAGAGTGTAGAACATAGAGCAGTACAGCACAAGAACAGGCCCTTCAGTCCACCACATCTGTGCCAGCCATGGTGCCATTCTAAACTAAACCCATGCCAGGAATTAATTTGGTAAACTGTCACTGAGCTTCCTTTATAGTAAGAACATCCTTCCTTAGATAAGGAGACCAAAACTGCACACAATATTCCAGGTGTGGACTCACTCAGGCCCTGTGTAATGGCAGCAAGCCATCACTGCTCCTGTATTCGGATCCCCTCACTGTGAAGTCTAACATCTGCTGCACCTGCAATGCTGACTTTCAGTGACTGGTACACAAGGATACCCAGGCTCCATTAACCATTCCCTTCTCTCCATTTACAATCATTCAGATAATAATCCACCTTCCTGTTTTCACTACCAACGTGGATAACCTCACATTTATTCACATTATATTGCATATCTTGTGCATTTGGCCACTCACTCAGCCTATCTAAATCACACTGAAATATTTGCATCTTCCTCACAGCTCACCCTCCCACCCAACTTTGTGTCACCTGGAAAGTTTGAGATATATTTTGTTCCCTTAATCTAAAGCATTAATATATATTACAGATAGCTGGGGCCGAGTACTAAACTTTGTGGTACCCCACAAGCCGCTGCCTGCCATTTGGAAAAAGACCCATTTATCCTTCCTCTCTGTTCCTGTCTGCCAACCAGTTCTCTATCCATCTCAATACACCAGCCCCAATCCCATGTGCTTTAATTTACACACTAATCTCTTATGTGGGACTTTGCCAAAAGCCTTCTGAAAGTCCCAATAAACCACATTGGCTGGCTCCCCTTCATCCAGTTTAGTTAAATTCTTGAAGAACTGCAGTAGATTTATCAAATATGATTTCCATTTTGTAAATCCATATTGATTGTGTCTGATTCTACCACTGCTTTCTAAGTGCCCTGTTATAAAATCCATGACAGTGGACTCCAGCATCATCCCCATTGCTGACATCAGATTCACTGCTCTATAATTGCCTGTTTTCTCTCTACCTCCCTTTGTGAATATTGGAGTGCCATTAGCCACCCTCCAATCTGCAGGGACTATAGAATCCTGGAAGGTGACCTCCAATACATCCACTATTTCTAGAGCTACTTCCTTAGTTACTCTGGGATGTAGATTATCAGGTCCCAGTGATTTATCAATCTCAATCTCATCAATTTCCCCAACACCATTTCCATACTGATATAAATTTCCTTCTGTTCGTCCCTCCCTACAAACCCTGCTGTTTCCTGCCCCCTACCAGTTCAGGTCCTCTTGCCCTGCCCATTGCCACCAATTCCCTTCCTGCCCCTGGGGTGTCACTCTGCAGGGTGACCACCTCTCGGTAAGTGCTTGGACTTGGTAAAGTTGGAAAATCATGGAATTCTCTCCCTGAGGGCATTGTGGGTCAACCCACAGCACATGGACTGCAGCGGTTCAAGAAGGCAACTCACCATCACCTTCTCAAGGGGCAACTAGGGATGGGCAATAAATGCTGGGCCCAGACAGTGACACCCACATCCCGTGCTGAATTTCTCCCGCACTTTCTGATTTGATCAGTGACTAGGATTGGTTGATTAGGGATTGTTGCTGACTGACGATTGGTTGAAGAGAAGAGGTTAGCTGATAGATGATTGGTTGTTGATTGGAAAGTGATCTGACCTGCCCCAGGTGATTGCCTTCTCCTCCTTCCAGTTGCGAGGCAGAACGCGATCTGCTTGAGAGTTGAACTGGATGCGGTAGGCTCGCTGGTTTTGCCACTTGTTCTGCTCGTTGGGATTGGTGAACAGCAAGTACCTGGGCAGAGCTTTCTGGAACCTAAAAGCTGCAGCTCGCTCCCGCTCCCTCAGCACCCTTTCCAGTCTTGATTGCACAATGTAATCTCCTGGAACCCATGGATTACTGATGTTCTCAAACTTCAACTCAAGGGTTTCAAAGCTGTTCTCTGTTCCTACAACAACAAGATCATGGTGATAAAAAAATCTCCCATTTCAACATTCACAGCCATGACACAATATTGAAACTAACTCTTCCAATCAATTTACTGACGGAAAATGGAAAACATAAAAGGATATAAAAGAGAAAGAAAACGACAACAAATGTTTCCAGGCTGGAGAAAAGAGAGTGACCATCATACAGCCCTTGTGGAGACAAAGTCCCGCCTTATTGTGAATAAACTCCATCATGTTGTGTGGCACTATCACTGTGCTAAATGGGACAGACTTCACACAGATCTAGCAACTCAAGACTGGGCACCCGTGAGGTGCTGTGGGCCATTAACAGCAGCAGAATTGTACTCCAGCACAATCTGTAACCTCATGGCCCAGCATATCCCCCACTCAACCATTACCATCAAACCAGGAGATCAACCCTGGGTCAATGGAGAATGCAGGAGGGTATGCCAGGAGCAGCGCCAGGCATACCTGAAGATGAGGTGTCAACCTGGTGAAACCACTAAACAGGACTACTTGCACACCAAACAGAGAAAGCAACAAGTGATAGACAGAGCTAAGCAACCCCACAACCAATGAATCAGATCTAAGCTCCCTAACCCTAACCCTAACCCTAACCCTAACCCTAAACCTAACCTCCAGATCCAACGCATCATCCTCCGACACTTCCACCATCTGCAATCTGACCCCACCACCAAAGACATCTTTCCCTCCCCACCCTTATCTGCTTTCCGGAGGGACCACTCTCTCCGTGACTCCCTTGTCCGCTCCACACTCCCCTCCAGCTCCACCACACCCGGCACTTTTCCCTGCAACCGCAGGAAGTGCTACACCTGCCCCCATACCTCCTCCCTCACCCCCATCCCAGGTCCCAAGAAGACTTTCCACATCAAGCAGATGTTCATCTGCACATCTGCCAATGTGGTATACTGCATCCGCTGTACCCGGTGTGGCTTCCTCTACATCGGGGAAACCAAGCGGAGGCTTGGGGACCACTTTGCAGAACACCTACGGTAGGTTCGCACTAAACAATTGCACCGCCCAGTCGCGAACCATTTCAACTCCCCCTCCCATTCCTCAGACGACATGTCCATCCTGGGCCTCCTACAGTGCCACAACGATGCTACCCGAAGGTTGCAGGAACAGCAACTCATATTCTGCTTGGGAACCCTGCAGCCCAATGGTATCAATGTGGATTTCACAAGTTTCAAAATCTCCCCTCCCCCTACCGCATCCCAAAACCAGCCCAGCTCGTCCCCGCCTCCCTAACCTGTCCTTCCTCCCACCTATCCCCTCCTCCCACCTCAAGCCCCACCCCCATCTCCTACCTACTAACCTCATCCTGCCCCCTTGACCTGTCCATCCTCCATGGACTGACCTATCCCCTCCCTAACTCCCCACCTGCACTCACCTTTACTGGCTCCATCTCCACCTCTTCGACCTGTTTGTTTCCTCTCCACCTATCCTCTCCTCTATCCCTCTTCTATCCGCCTCCCACTCTCTCCCTATTTATTTCAGAACCCCCTTCCCCTCCCCCTTTTCTGATGAAGGGTCTAGGCCCGAAACGTCAGCCTTTCTGCTCCTATGATGCTGCTTGGCCTGCTGTGTTCATTCAGCCCTGCACCTTGTTGTCTCGGATTCTCCAGCATCTGCAGTTCCTACTATCTCTGGCAAAACTGTGACATGTTTTAAAGTTCTCAACCTTTACATTTTTAAGAAAACTATCAGCTGTGTTAATAAAAATCAGTGTTTGTTATTTGACTCCATCTTTGGTATAAGTTGTAAGGTGAACATTAATGATCTTTACTGATTTTACAACTCCTTATTAACACAGCACAATGTTTTATTGACAATTCCAGTAGTTTTATGAAGTCTTTTCAGTCTGGCAGTGCACAGAGTGTACTTTTTTAGATGTGATTAGCTCATTGTAGGAAGTTAGATGTACTTTTTTAAAGAATGTTTTTCTTAAATAGTGGATTCATTAATTTGCACTTAAATTTCTACATTATTTCATTTCCAAGTGCATCTTAAAGTCTGCCCATTGGTCAATAATTGGTGAGTTCACACATGGGCTTTATGGCAAATCTGCAGGCACAACATTTGTATGGGACTGGGGAAGAGGACAAAGCTTGTTATGGGGGTATGGAAGGGCTGGGTAGTGGCATTGGTTTGCATGGATGGAGCATTGGGAGTGAGAGTGAGTGGGTGTGGAAGAGGGTAAGGTTTAGTGTGATGAGGTCACCAGTGAAGACTATTGGCCCTGCAACTGACTCAGAGCCATTTGTGAGTTTGGGGGACAAAGGAGATGGGAAGGTGAGGGGGAAGGAGGAGAGCAGAAGATGGAAAGGTGAAGATTAAAACAGTTAAAAAGTTGAATATTGCTGGGAAGATGGACAACTACTTTGTGTGGTGTTTGGGGATTGATGTTGTAGGCTCTGTACTGTGTGGCTGAGCTGGGAGCTGTAGATCAATCTGTGTAAAACCTACCTGCCACATCCAGATCCACTTTATAGTGGACTAGGTGAGTGTGAAGATTGCCCAAGACACTGTGATAGACTTTGGTGCCATAGTTTACTCCCTCAGGTCTGAAGGAGGTGGCATGGATGTAACCGGTGGCGTGAACCTTGACCTCTATCACCCCGTTGTGGTAGAAGATGAAGTCCCAGATATAGTCATAGTTATAGACAGTGGATGTGGTTCTGATGACCAGCACCTGGTTCTCCAGGCCCCCGTAGAAGTTGAAGCTTCCTTTGAAATTACTGTTGAAATGCCTCCTGAGTGGCACTGCCGTGGAATGTTCAAATATACACAGTGCATTCTTGTAGCGGATTGGCTGGTCTGTGTCCATAAAGTGGTAAACATCTCTGTAGGTGGCTATCTCTGGGCAGTCAATTCCCTTTGCCAGCTCATAGTTCACGATGCCCATTCCCCAGGCTGTGTCAATGTACTTTGTCTGCATTCCCGCTGGGCTGTGCCCTGAGTAAAATGCAACGGCTTCCTGGACACTGATCTCATACGCGATTGGTTCGTCATTAAACCGGATATCGAAAAGCTGGAGGCCTGTGGAAGACCGGGTCCTGAATGCAAAGCTCCAGCCGGAATACAGGACCAAGTTCCCTTGCACTTTGTACCTCTTCCCTTGAGGGTCATAGAGTTTGGGCCCGGGAATGTCAGTCAGGCTTTGGAACTGGCCTCTGGGTATGTAGGTAGAGTAAAGGTCCTCACTTCTATATTTCGGCAGCTGGGAAATATTGACAAGGCCCAGGTTGTAACTCCACACCAGCTGCTCCACACTGTTAAAGTACTGTCCATTAAACCAAACCTTCTCCACCAGCCAATCCTGTGGATCTGGAGACTCATGGTTTAACAGGATCTCAAAGCCAATTGGATGAATGAAATACCCTTCCACAGCTCGCTGCAGAATGAACCATGACTTCCTATCACCTGACGTCTGACCCCTGGGGGCAACATCAGTAAAGATCAGGCAGTGGTCAGTGCAGTTGCTATACCAGAGTCCACTGGATTCCCTCAGGAGGAGGGCTGCTGGCTTGGTTACCTCCAGCAGTTTCTCATGAATGAAGGTGTACTCCACAGCCGTTGCTGGTCGGGCAGTGAAACGTATCGACCGGTTACCACTCAGTGGCACAGGCCGGTAGTACGTGGGCTCTGGCAATGGGCCAACAATGAACTCAGTCACATTGGGAGCTGGCTCAGCACCAAAAAAGATCACTACCTTGGCAGTGCGCCTGGGGGCACAGCCTGTTCCCCTCAGGAAACTGAGGACATGCTGCTTCTTGGGCATTTGAAGTTCGATGAGGAAGATGTAATTTTTCTTGAGTGTCTGACTTTTTGCAGTTGACAGCTTGAGGTGTTTCTGGGACAAGAGGAAGGTTTTTACTGCTTGCATCTCCGTGGGATGGAGCTCAGCAAATACTGATGCTGTGTATTGGTAACGGTTAGCTGACTGGGGATATTGGAAACTAACATTGCTCCACACCAATACTGCCCAGAAACAGGCCACTTGGAGTCTCAGTGCACCCCACATATCAGCACCTACAAAAGAAACAAAACACAGACAGGAACATCCACTGAAACACACGGAGAAACATCAACACTCAAAAAATCAGGAATAACTCAGAGAATTCCTCTTCAAAGAAACACAACAGCTGGGTCATGCTCAGAGCAGCAGCAGGCCATCACACCATCAATCCCAGAAAACATAGTGAGTGTCTCCCTTGGAGATTAGTCTGCTCCCTGGATTTGCTCAAGATCTCAGAGAAAAGGGGGAACAGGGAGAAGAGGGTGATGCTGGAAGGTTGTTTGTGTGACTGGAGGCCAGTGATGAACAACAGAGTTCAGCACAGGGTCCAGTGCTGTTTGTTATTTAGAGAACAATGTCAATGGGAATGTGCGAGGGATGGTAAGTAAGTTTGTGGATGACACAAAGATTGTCCAGGTGTTTGATGGTGAGGACGAAGGTGTTAGATTACAGGAGAATATAATCAGATGGTCAGATGGTCACCTCAGTGACAAATGGAACTTAACCCTGATAAATGTGAGGGGATGCAATTTGGAAGAAGTAACAAGACAAGGGTGTACTCAATGAATGGCAGGATATTAGGAAGCTCAGAGGAACAGAGGGATCTTGGGGTGTTTGTCCACAGACCCCTGCAGGTGGTAGGACAGGTTAATCGGTTAGTTAAGGCAGCAAATGGGACACTTGTCTTTATTAGGTCAGGGTGTAGATTATAAGATCAGGGAGGTTGTGTTGGAGCTGTACAGCAATTTGGTAAGGCCACAGCTGGAGTACTGTGTGTGGTTCTGGTCCCTGCGCTATGGGGAGGATGCGATTACACCGGAGGGGGTGCAGAGGAGATTCACCAGGATACTGCCTGGGCTGGAGTGACTCAGTGATGAAGAGAGGCTGGATAAGCTTGGGTTGTTTTCTTTAGAGCAGAGAGGGCTGGGGGAACCTGATAGATGTGTGTCAGATAACGAGGGGCAAGGACAGGATGGAGAGGAAGCAGCTGTTCCCCTGAGTTAAAGGGTCAATAACAAGGGCACATCATTTTAAGGTGAAAAGCAGGGGGTTTAGAGGGGTTTGATGCAAAGTTTTTTTCACCCAGAGAGTGGTGGGGTCTGGAATGCTCTGCCTACAAGCGGAGTTGAGGCAGGAAACCTCACAATCTTTACAAAGTACATGGATGAGCCAGGGCCTGCCCAGTTGATTGTTGTATGTCGTATCAGAGAGACAGGCCAATGGGTTTACATTCAGGGATGGTTGAGATCAGAGATTGAGGGGAGACTGGCTCATGTGATCCCCCAGGACTCTGAGTGACAGCATTCACTCCTGCACAAAGTCAATCCCATGGGATTGTGGCTCCTATTAAAGCAGGTTGGGAACTGAATGGTGAGAGGGGCACAAATAGATGCTGGGAAAGCAGTTACCAGGCAATAGTCATAAAGCTCCAAGTTAGGGACACAGTTTATAATCTGCACAAATGACACAGAACTTGAGTTCAGATTTGACAGAGTATTATGAAATGACCATGAAATGAGGAGCAGGACTGGGTCATTCACATTTTGTGACTGTCCACCATGTGATAAGGTCATGGCTCTTCCAATCATTGCCCTTTCCCACCTGCCTCTCCAACTCTATCTCAGAGGTCAGACTAATCTCCTCGGCTCTTGTACAGGGGCAAACCTGTTAACTCTGTGAGGACTCACTGCTGTCACATAGTGAACATGACCTTGCAGGTTGTGGGGAGATTTACTACCTTCAGTGGCCCTCGGTCTTAGTCGTAGCTTCTGACACTGTGGGGAGGGAGACCCACACAAAAATGTCAACTGAAGTAATGTCAATCTTGACCAACAGCAAATAAGATTCTGATTACATAACACTGAGAAGTTAGTTACCTTACATCAGAGGTAAGTCTTTGTAAAAGCTCGGTATGAACATCAGAATGAGTTCATGTTTACTGTTTCAGCTTCATGTATTCCCACATTGAACAGTCACTGACACACTGGCTACATTCAGGAAAACATACCAGACCTGGTTAGCTCCTGCCAGGATCAGTCCATAATAGTCTGGTGGACACACGCTGTCTCATCTTGTCAATTAACACCTTCAGGCCCTAAATATCTGATACAACAAATGGGAATTACATGTTTCAAAAAGATCACTCCCCATCTTGTCAACTCCAATGAGTAGAGGATCAACTTCATGCGATAAGGTAACCATGGCAACTCAGCAATCGGTCATGTGCTCCTTTTCTGAACAGTTTCCAATATCAGCATATCCCTTTATTCAATCAGTAAAAACTGTACACAGTGGGTTGTTTTACTCCTGCATGTGATGTGGGCATTAGTGTCTGGGCCAGGATTTACTACATATCCCTCAATTCCTACAGGGCTGTTCCATTTCCCCCACAGTAGCAGCACGGTGGCTCAGTGGTTAGCACTGCTGCCTCACAGCACCAGGGACTGAGGTTCAATTCCACCCTCAGGCGACTCCCTGTAGAGCGTTTGCACATTCTCCCCACGTCTCACTATGTCTAAGCACCCCATGCTTGGTATGGCCTTGCTTACAATGATCTGCCTGTACTGCTCGCAAACAAAGATTTTCACTGTACTTAGGTATATTTGACTACAATAGATCAGATCAACTCTGTATGGTTTTCCTCTGGGTACTTTGGTTTCCTCCCATAGTCCAAAGATGGGCAGTTTAGGTGGATTGGCCATGCTAAATTGCCTAGGGATGTGCAGGCTAGGTGGGTTAGCCATGAGAAATGCAGGGTCATGTGGATAGCGTAGGAGGTGGGTCTGGGTGAAATACTTGTTAGAGGGTCAGCGTGGACTTGATGGGCTGAATGGCCTGATTCCACACTGTAGGGATTCTATGATTGCTGGGGGTCTGAAGTCACATGTAGACCAGACGGGGTAAGGATGGGACATCTCATTGGCAGCAAAGTTCCATTTTTAACATTCCAACCACTGGCAAACAGATGGCCCATTTCCATTCACCTCTGAAATCACTTGCTGCAGCTGCAGGTGAACTTTCAGTCTTTCAAGCCACAGGACACTCAGATCCTTCTGCATTCACCTTTCTGTATTCTCAAACACTCCTTCCCTCATATTCCATTACATACCAGCTCAGTTAGTAATGCTTCATCTAATCACCTCATCAAACTCACTCCCATTCAATCACCTGGGTACCAGCCACTCAAGTTGCAATTCAGGCTCAAAATTATCACCACCTTCAGTAAGAATAGTCTTCCTCAGCATCGAATTCAACAGAATAGACACGAAACAGTGGAAGGTCCAAATTGTGTGTGTGGGAGCCCATACCCCAGTGAGAGACAGTGTGCGTGAGGGAGCTTGTATCCCAGTGAGTGTGTGTGTGTGTGTGTGTGTGTGTGTGCGCGCACGTGTGTGAGCCCATACCCCAGTGAGGGTCAGTGTTTGTTGGGACTTTACCCCAGTGAGAGTTTGGGAGCCCGTATCCCAGTGAAAGGCACATTTTGGGAGATAATATAAAGACTGTCAAAAGGTTTGTTGAAATCCTACCTGAAGCTTCTCTGTGTTCAGTCCTGCCAAGTTTAATGCTTGGAAAGTCAATAGTTCTGGTGTTTTTGGAGCTTGTTGTGTCAGTTAGGAATCTGTGGATTTGTTTGAACAGGAGGTGAGTGATCTTGATATAATCATTGGCTCAGTTGGTTGTCAAGTGCAGTTCCTCATTGCTGACAGGGCAGGGTCACACACCACACCACTTCTGCCTTCTCTACTCTCTATGAGTGTTACTATTACAGACACATTGGAGAATAAGGCTTCAAACAATTCATTCCAATTTGTGAACAAACCCAGGCTCCCTGTTCTCCAAGCTCCTCGACAATCTCACAACCTCTACACCTCGATGTTTCAATTCCTTCCAAACCTTGATCCTGAACCTCTCCCCCTCTGACCCCAATTATCGTGCCATGAGCTCTCTGCCTATATATTCTGTGCCTGTGCCCTTCCCGCTACTTCACCTGACAAAGGAACAGCTCTCTGAAAGCTTGTGATCTTAAATAAACCTGAAGGACAATAACCTGGTGTCATGTGACTTCTGACTCTGAACCTGACATCCTCTCCCTCTGGCCCTCTTTGTCCGATGTAAAGACATTAAATGATTCAAAAGGGGAGGCAACGGCCTAGTGGTATTATCACTGGACTGTTAATCCATGGACCCAGGTAATGTTCTGGGGATCTGGGTTCAAATCCTGCCATGCCAGGTGATGGAATATAATTCAATAAAAAATTTCTGGAAGTTGGAATCTACAGAAGACCACGAAACCATTGATGATTGTTTGAAAAACTCATCCGGTTCACTGATGTCCTTATCTGTCTGGCCTATATGTGACTCCAGACCCAATGCAATGTGGTTGACTCTCAACTGCCCTCTGAAATGGCCGAGCAAGCCATTCAGTTGTATCAATCGCTACAAAGTCTCAAAGAAATGAAACCGGACAGATCACCTGGCATCGACCTAGGCATCAGAAAAGACAATGGTGGACACAGCCCTGTCCACCCTGCAAAGTCCTCCTTATTAATATCTGGGGGCTAGTGCCAACATTGGGAGAGCTGTCTCACAGGCTAGTTAAGCAACAGTCTGACATAGTCATACTCACAGAATCATACCTGACGGACAATGTCCCAGACACCACCATCACTATCCCTGGATATGTCCTGTCCCACTGGCAGGACAGACCCAGCACTGGTGGCGGCACAGTGGTATACAGTCGGGAGAGTGTTGCTCTAGGAGCCCTCAACATTGACTCTGGACCCCATGAAGTCTCATGGCTTCAAGTTAAACATGGGCAAGGAAACCTCCTGCTGATTACCACATACCATCCTCCCTCAGCTGATGAATCTGTCTCCTCCGTGTTGAACAACACCTACAGGAAGCACT